TGCTTGTTGATCGATACGCGCGGATTGATCGGCGTGCGCGTGTTGACCGACGCGCACGAGCTGACCGACACGCACTAGATGATTTGACGTGCGCTGACTGATTGGCGAATTTTCTTGACTCGCCTATTCATTGCTTTGAGTTTCGTGCGAGCTGTCATAGGCAATTTTAGACGCCTACAGATACCCCCTCCAAAGTGTTTCAGCCTCATTCTTTTATAGAGGAGTCTGAAATGCTTTGGATATGATGGATCCCCACCTTCAGTCGGTGTTAAAGGACCTACAGACGGTTTCGATTCTTGACTTCTCCATATCTTAGCATATTCTGTGTTTCATTGAATAGCTAAGATTTCCCCGGTACTGCGTTTATCGTCTGACCGTTATTGAAGCCTTGAACCGAATTTGGTGAATAGATTTTTGTTGATGTGTCATTGAGTTGACTTTCGGTGAGTAGACTTTCCGAATCGATCGGCGTTGACTCTTTATCGCAACGCGTTGACCGGCGTTGACCTAGGGTTACGCATTGACCGGCGTTGACCTTAAGGTTTCGAATCGATCGGCGTTGACTCTCATCGCAACGCGCTGACCGGCGTTAACCTAGGGCTACGCGTTGACCGGCATTGACCCTAGGGTTTCGCATTAACCTGAGGAGAACCAGTTTATACTCTTGTACTCCTGGGAGTTTCGGGAATCAGTTTAACCTCGTGTACCCGTCGGAGGTTGCCAGGTTATCCTTAAGAATTATTATACATAATATTCTCCAGGAACTTCCCGTCAAAAGTGGGAAACAGTTTAGACTCATGTACCTGTTGGAGTTCGGATTTCAAATATTCCGAAAATAGGCGAAAAATCACGAAATCACCCAAAATATAAAATTGGGTCTCGGGTATTCTGAAAATAGATGAAAATATCTCGAAATTATCTGGGAGACGGAATTGAACTCCGAAAATTCCAAATCTGACTGAAAATGCCGCTCAATTATCCGAGAGATGAAATTGAACTCCGAAAATTCCGAATCCGAGTGAAAATGTTGCGAAATCACCCAAAATTTAGAATTAGGTCCCGAGCATTCTGAAAGCAGGTGAAAATGCCGCGAAATTATCCGAGAGATGAAATTGAACTCCGAAAATTTCGAAAACTGACGAAATCAGGCGAAAATACAGCAAAACGGACGCTTAACTAGGTCTGACCCGCGCTCACGCGGGTCAGATGGATCCGACCCGCGTGATCGCGGGTCGGATTGATCCGACCCGCGAGCACGCGGGTCGGACACAAGTCCGACCTGCGGAACGCGGGTCGGAGGGGCTGAAAAGGCGTAAAAAATCCCCCAATTTTCTTCTTCTTCTTCCCATATTCGGTTCCAGCTTCTTCTCCTTCCTCCTCTTCCAATTTGGATTCGAGCAAAAGGGTAGACCTAGGGTTTCGGTGGATCTTGAACTCGAACAATTGGGGGTTCTTTTAGCGCTCATCCTTCATCTACTTCGGATTCCAGGTAAGTTCCACGACTCAAGCTTTGGTTCCTCAGTTTCAATTCGATTTTAAACCCGAGTTCTTCCTCCAATCCTAGGGTTTCGGGTCTTGATTTGGGCTCGGACGTTGCCGTGGGTCCTCTCCATCGAACTCGTCCTCTCTGATCCAAGTAAGCTTCATCCTCAATTTTGATTAAACTCCATCTTGTATACTCATTTGTGAAAGGGTGGTTGAGACCTAATTTCGAATTTTGGGTTGTTGGAAACAGTCTGAACTTGATTTCGAATTGTGAATCTGAACTCATTCATGGTTGAGTTCTTAGTTGATGATTGCGTGCATAAGGCCCTAGTTCTTCAATCAATCTTGGGGAAAACCGAAATCTTTGGAATTTTGGGGGGTTGATGACTGGCCGATTGAGCTCTTGAAAGCACTCTCCCGATGCTAATGACCGCACTTTTACAGCATCCTGACTAACAGAAGCCAGGAACTCCCCGTTATTGTCCCAACGAACAGAATGCACCCACACTTTTACAGCATCCTGACTAACAGAAGCCAGGAACTCCCCGTTATTGTCCCAACGAACAGAATGCACCTCCTTTGTATGACTTTGTGTTGTGAGAAGCCAGGAACTCCCCGTTATTGTCCCAACGAACAGAATGCACCTCCTTTGTATGACTTTGTGTTGTGTCACCTTTGGAGATACGTGGGCATGAAAATTGGCTTACATTCCAGAAGCGAATCTCCCCATTGCCATCACAAGAACATAGAAGGTCTATCTTTTTTAGGATGAGAATCTAATGATGTCATCTGGGAGCTGTGCCCACTAAATGTCTGCAAGCAATAATTTGGTTCGGCTGCATTCCATAGCTTAACAGTTCTATCGAAAGAAGATGTCGCCAGTTGAGTTGAGTTTTGTTCTTTGGTCGATTGATGCTGATAACTCCGAACCTGTGTATTGACTGAGGACCTTAGTTTGTATTTGAGCGGAGCCGAGACTTTGCTTGACTCACGTGGGAGTTTACTAAACTTGGTCGTACACGACTGAACTTTGTATGTGACTGAATCTGTATGTGATTGAACTCATGTATACAGTCGAACTTTGTATATGACTGAATTTGTATATAATTGAATTCTTGCATATGATTGAGCTCTTGTATTATTGAATTCATATGTAACTGAACTCGTGTATGCCTTGAATCCAAACTTGTGTATGGCTCGAGAACCTTATATGTTTTGAATTCGAGCTACTCTTGTATATGATCGAGCCTTTGTATATGCCTTGAACTTGTACATGTGTAAGGCCGAGAATTGACTTGGATCCAAATTTGCATATAAGCTTGGTTTGAATTTCTTGGAAGTTTAGTTTCGAATCCTTGTCAACATTAAGTCCTTGTGGTGTTTTAACGGTTTTCTCGAGATCTTTTCAGTTCCAGAGGTTTCTAACTGACCTGATATCATCCCCAAACGTGGTTAGGCTGTTGTCAACTGAAGATAGAGCCAAATCACTTGTTCTCATCCAAATAACCGCATTCGAGGCCTATAAATATGAGTCAAAGGGCCTCCATTTTTGGGGGGCGATTGATTATCAAGACGAGGAGGTGCTGCCGGATTGTGGAGTCAAAGGAGCACGAATTTCTGCGGGGGTTGACAGATCTTGGCGGGTTCTTCGGCATAAAGAAGGAGAGTTCGAGAGATCCGACGCCCGTTCCCGTCCGTCCCTTGAGATTAGGCTTGGTCTTAATCTCGAGAAGAGCCCTGATTTCGCTTGGTCGATTTCAGCGCTTCAAATCAAATACTTCCTCGGCGAAGGCGAAGCTCTGCCGAATTTTCCATCAACCGGATCCAGATCTAAGGCGGTCCACGGATAAACCCCGGCACAGGCAAAGATCCCACGCAAGCAGAAGACCGATAAACGATCTCTGCGTTTGTTTTGACGAGAGTTGTAACTTTTGTTTTCATTGTGTAAAGATCTTATAAAAAAAGATTATCTTTTTTTTGTTTTCATTGTAACGACTAAAGTTGTAATGAATACCGCAATGAATACAACAATTTTCGACGCAAACAGTGCTCACATGATCTCGAACATTATCTTCAGGTCTGCAAGATGATCATCTTTACATTGGCTCTTTACTGCTATATCATCAACGTAGCATTCGATCTTCTTTTGTAAGTGTTCATGAAAGATCGTGTTCATTACACGCTGATAAGTTGCGCCTACATTTTTCAGGCCGAAGGGCATCACTGTGTAGCAATACACCCCCAGTGGTGTTCTAAAAGCAGTGTGTTTCTTGTCTTCCGGGTGCATCTTGATCTGATTATACCTGGAGAATCCGTCCATGAAAGACATCCTTTCATATCCGCAGGTGTTGTCGATCATGATGTCAGTGATAGGAAGAGGAAACTCATCTTTTGGACAAGCTGCATTAAGATCGCGAAAGTCGATGCATATGGAACTGGAACAATGTTGGCCACCCAGTCAGGGTGTTGCTCTTCCCTAACAAAACCCGAGTCTATAAGCTTTTTAACTTCTGACTCAATTGATTCCATGATCTCTGGACGAAACCTGCGTTGTTGTTGTTTAACGGGTTTTGCATCTAGATCGATGTTGAGATGGTGCATGGCAACCTTCGGGTCAAGGCCAGGCATATCTTCATAATTCTAGGCGAAGACATCTATATATTCTCGGATGAGAGATATAAGGTCTTCTTTTTCGGATGATGACAGATCTTCGGCTATAAAGATAGGCTTGGGGTCAGACTCATCTCCCATGTTGACCTGGATCACCTTATCTTCGGTGGGTGGTTCGCGTTGTTCGAAGCGCATATCCCACAAGGTGTTAAGACGTTTGATCCAAGGGTCATCGGTTGATTCGACTAACTGTTCATCACCCTCTGCGTCTTCATCTGGATGACTAGATGAAACCATGTTCACAGTCAAGCTTTTGAAGAAAGGTCCGACACTGACGTCGGATTCCCAGGAAGAGGTTCCGGATGAGTGATCCTGACGCAGATAATTACTGATTTCATTTTCTAAGGTAGGGGGAGGCGTAACGTAACCCACGCCTCTTCCAGTTTTTTGATAATAGTCCGGAGGTTTTCCTTCAGGAGTGAGAGACGTTCGAATCGGGGTTCGTCTTCCTTTCCCGAAGTTCAAGCCCTGTTTCTCATTAAAGTTATACCCCATTCGTTTCATTAAGTATATAGAATTGGGTTCGTGGTAATGGAATTAGGGAACCCTATCATCTTCCTCTGAACTTCCTCGTTTGAGTTGTTCGGGTTTGACTTTACCAAAACAGATCGGCTTCTGTCCTTTCCTTTTGGATGGGACTTTGAAGAAAGCCTTTTGTGCGTCTTCCACTTCTTCAACTGAAGCGAAGGATGACTGAATTGGCAAGGTGAACGATGCCTCTGTGCACAGTACGTGCCATGGGTTGGTACCTGCACTAGAATTATTCTCTATTTGTTTATTTTTAGAAGATACATCAGGCAAGTACGCTAAAATGAAATCTTCATTAATGCACCACTCGCCCTCACTCGGTACATTATTCTTACTCTCACCCTGACCCATTACATCAAAGTTTAATTCCCAAGGACAATCTTCATCAGGATCTGGCTCGATGTCAGCTTCGTTACCGCTGTCCACATCTTCTTTCTCCTGGGATTCCAGATAGAAGACGGAGTCGGTATGGAAGTTTTCCACTCCTCGGAAGGGGTATTTTTCTGCAATTAAGGTTTGAACTTCGCCCTCGTTGTTGGCGTACTTCATGACTTGATGCAGAGTAGATGGGACAATACGATTTGCATGTATCCATGGTCGTCCCAGCAAAAGATTGTAGGACGTGTCCGCATCTATGATGTAGCATGCTACTTCAGACTTAAGATCTCCGATCTGGCATCTGAGCTTGATCTTTCCCAGAGGTCGGGTGCTATTCGCGTTGAACCCAAAGATAGTAGTCTGGGTGGTGTGCAGTCGGTGCATAGGAATCCCTAAGACCTGCATGACCCTGTAAGGCATGATACTGAGTGCTGAGCCTGGGTCAACTTGAACATGACTGATTTCGGAGGATCTGATATACCCTGTGTAGTACAGTGGTCGGTCATGCTCATGCTTGACTTGCATATCTTCCTGAGTGAACGATATGCATGGTAGACTTCTCGCTGCTTGTAGGCATTGCAGACAAGGTTGATCTTCGGAAGCTTCAGGGATCGGAGTGACTTGAGTAATGAAGCTCTTTGTATTCTTCAACGCTTCAATTAGAGCTTCCTTGGTGGTTTTGGACAACCTTAGGAGCTCATATAGCGTAATCATGGCCGGTATATTGGCCAACTGAGTCATGACATTGAATTGGAAGGGAGCGCTCGACTCCCCGGATTCTTGGTGGAGATTTTTGTTGAACCGGAGCTCTTTTTGTTTCCCTTTATCGGCCGGCTTCTTTGGTGCAGAACCCCCAGCGTCTTGAGGCTGTTCTTCAGCTTCTTGAGTATTCTGGTTGTAGTCCCTCAAGTAAGCTTTTCCTAACCGAGTGCCAGGGTTGTCTCCTGGGTATGCTGCCAGGACGATCCTCTCTTCTTCTGAATCAGTAAGAGGTTTGAGGTGGTCGTCATTTTCAGTAATGGAGGGGCTAATCATGTTGGAATACTTAGCCTTTCCTCCTTTCTTTTTGGACGAGGTATTTGTCCATTGTTGATCTCCTAGCAGATCAGGGTGGACCCACATAATTTCCCATTTTGGGGTAGTGAGAGGTATCAACCCCCTGTCTTTTTGACTATGCAAGTCAACATTCTTCAAGTGCATTTCTTCCTTACGAATGGGGATAACGCCGTTCGCAGTTACCACCGGGAGGAAGTCACCGAATTGGACCGCTATCATATTGGTGGATACGGTCTTCTGTTCTGGCTTCAATGTGAGTACATTAGCATTTACCAAATTCTGCAAGATGTCTTTGAAGACATAGCATTTTTTGGTAGGATGTCCAAGGAATCTATGGTAACGACAATAATTAGGGTCATCCACTTTCTCTGCTTCATCCGGCTTCCTGATCTTAGGCAGTTGTAGCTTGTTGTTCTTTCGAAGCAACTGGAATAAGGTATCCACATGCTCCTCTTTAAACGAATATTGCTTGGGCGCTCTTTGTTGATTGGGCGCCTTGTCTTGCTTATTAGGCGGTGGTACTCGTGTGTAGTCAGCTACTAAAGTCTCCTTTCTCTTAGACTGCTGGGCGTTGTTCTGGTTGCGTTGCTGCTACGACTTGGGTTGCGGCTCTTCTTCAGCTTTAACTCGTGCCACTATCTCTTCAGCTTGTTCTCCTTGTGACACTAATTGCCTCCAAGAGCGACATTCTGCTACCCCCATCTGAGCAAGGAGCTGGGTCTGCAGGTTGTGCCTGCAAATTTCAACCAAAGTTGATTGGGTCATACCTGAGGGTCGCGTTTAGTTGGTGAAACAGATTCTTGAGAATCATGTTTCGTTTGAACGCGCACCTGAGGGTCGCGTTTAGTTTTGACAG